TTCAACATATGCAAAACCATAAATGTAATACACCATATTTACAGAAAGATAAAAATCATATCATTTCAATCAATGCAGAGAAAGCATTTGACAAAATACAACATGCCTTTATGATCAAGACTCTCAGTAAAATTAGCACAGAATGATCTTTTTTCAGCATAATAAAAACTATTTATAAAAAATGTACAGCTAACATTATACTGAATGGGGCTCAGTTTTTCCACTAAAATGGGTACAAGACAAGGCTGCCCACTTTCTCTGCTCCTATTCAGTGTAGTACTGGAAGTTCTAGGCAATGCAATTAGAAAAGAGGAGGAAATAAAAGGCGTTCCAATAGAGAAAGAAGAGCTGAAATTATCTCTGTTTGCAGATGACATGATTGTATACATAGAAGACCCAATAGTATCTGTGAAAAAACTTCTCAAAATAATAAATGCATACAGTAAAGTGGCAGGATACAAAATTAACTTACAAATCTATAGCATTTCTATATACAAACAAGCAGACAGAGAGACAGAATTGAAGAACGTAATTCCGTTTACCATAGCCACAAGAGGTATAAAATACTTAGGAATAAAATTAACCAAGAAAGCCAAAGACCTCTACCAGGAAAACTATGAAAAGTTTAAAAAGAAAATTGAAAAAGACACTAAAAAGTGGAAGGACATCCCATGTTCCTGGATTGGCAGAATCAATATAATAAAAATGGCAATCCCACCCAAATTAATCTACATGTTTAATGTGATCTTGATAAAATTACAAGAGACATTTTTCACAGATCTAGAAAAAACAATCAGACAATTTGTCTGGTACCATAAAAAGCCCATTTTGCTAAAGCCATCCTGCTCAAGAAGACTGGAGTAGGTGGCATCTCACTTCCTGACTCCAAAATATATTACAAAGCTGTGATCATAAAAACAGCATGGTATTGGCACAAAAATAGACATGAGGACCAATGGAACAGAGTAGAAACTCCAGAAATAAACCCCCAAACATACAGCCAATTAATCTTTGACAAAGGGTACTAGTCAATCCAGTGGGAAAAGGGAAAACTCTTTAGCAAATGGTGTTGGCAAAACTGAGTATCCACCTGCAGGAAGATGAATCTGAACCCCTATCTGTTACCATTAACAAAAATCAACTCAAAGTGGATCAAAGATCTAAATCTAAGACTGCAAACTATAAAGCTACTGGTAGAAAACACTGGGGAAACTCTGGGAGATATTGGGGTAGGCAAAGACTTCTTAAGCAAGACCTCCAAAGCACAGGCAATAATCCCCCAAATAGACAGGTGTGATTACATCAGATTAAGGAGTTTCTGCACTGCAAAGGACACAACCTAGTGTGAGTCACAACCCTCGGAATGGGAGAGAATTTTTGTTAACTATGCCTCAGATAAGGGACTGATAACCAGAATACACAGGGAACTCAAGTAGCTTACCTGGAAGAAAATGATTAACCCAGTTAAAAGATGGGAAAGTGAGCTGAATAAACAATTCTCTAAGGAAGACATATGAACAGCCAAAAAGCATAGGAAAAAATGCTCAACATTCCTCATCATATGGGAGATGCAGATCAAAACCACAATGAGATATCACCTAACCCCTGTCAGAATGGCAAGGATTAAAAAAAAACCAAATAATGGTAAGTGCTGGAGCAGATGTGGTGAAAGAACACTCCTACACTGTTGGTGGGAATGTAAATTGGTCCAGCCATTGTGGAGAACTCAAAGACCTTCAAATAGAACTACCATATGATCCACCAATTCCACTCCTGGGTATCTAACCAAAGGACAGGAGAGCACTTAGTTGGAAAAGCGCTTACACATCTATATTCACTGCAGCCTTATTCATGATTGCTAAGATATGGAACCAACCCAAATGTCTACAAACAGATGAATGGATTGAAAAATTGTGGCACATATACTCCATGAAATACTATTCAGTCATAAAAAACAAGGCCCTGGAATTTGATAGAAAGTGAACAAATATGAAAGATTTGTCGCTGAGTGAAGCAAGTCAGGCTATGGAAGAGAGACACTGTTATGTCTCCACTTAATATATACTAACTGTCCGTGCTCCATGGTAGAGATGGAAAGACTGGAGAACATAAAAGTATTAAAAATTGTAATAGACACTAGAGACGAAGTGGAAATAGAGTGTGAGAGGGGAAGAGCAAAGGAAATTTGGGGAGAAAATGAAGAGGTAAGACATTTGCGGGACACAAAGTTTATTATCTGTTAACGAGGATGTGCATGGTGGTCTCAACTGGGCTGGACTGGGTAAAGTCTCTTCACAATCTAAATGATGTATAGTGATTTAATGTATAAATAATAATACAAAAGTACAAAAAAAAATTAAATTCCAAGAGCAGTTCAGGACACCTCTCAAAATCTGCCGCTGTGTGCCTTCAGGGAGCCAATTCCAGCACGCTATTGACTCCTGCTGTGCCCAGCACACAGGGAATTTCTACATATCCTCCTCCACACTGAGGACTTTCATGAAAGAAGAGAGGCTGGTGACATACACTTCCTGAGTGAAGAGTGTCTGTCCCAGGGTGTGGCACAGTTAAAGGGGAGTTTAGGATTAAATAGAAGCAGTGTTTCTTAATCGGGGTATAAGGCTCCTTGGGACCAGCAGTTAGTGTAATGGCTATGTTGCTGGACTTCCATATAGTCAATCACGGTTCGAGTCCCAGACCCAGTGGCTTAAACTCACGCTGGGCGCATGTATGTGTGTGCCCAAGATCCGTAGAGGAGAAAGGAGGAGAAGGGATTGCGGTGTGGCCATCCCCGCTGGGGAGGGTGGGGGTTGACTTCTCGGTTTCTGTCTCTCTTTCTGGTGAGTGCACTCGCCCTACAGCAAAAACCTCTCAAAAAAAAAGGCTCCTCTACAAGAACGTCTGAATGTTGAGTTTCCGGTAAGATTTTTCAGGGACAGACTCTCACTATGTTGCCTGTGCTGGCCTTGCCTCTCCAGTAGTGGGAATTGACGACAGATGAATGCCACTGTGTTGGGCTTTTAGAGTAGACTGGTTCTTGGATCTGAGTCTCCCATGTGGCCTCAGCCTGCCAAGCAGCAGTGTCAACCAGTGTGTGTCCCCTCAATGGACCCAGTTTCTTTTCTCTCTCTCTCTCTCTCTTTTTTTTTTGTTTTTTTGGAGTTTTTTTGCCATAGGGCATGTACACTTGTTGGAGAGAGACAAAGATAGTGAGAGGGAAAGTGAGAAATCACCCTCCAGGGGGAATTGCCACACAGCAATTGCTTCTCCTCTATTCTCCTCCTGGATTTTGGGCACATTGGCACACATCCTCAGCTTCATTTTCAAGCCACCAGGTCTGTGACTCAAACTGCAGTCAGCCATGTGGGAGTCCAGTGGCATGACCACTAAACCATCTCCTGGCCCCATGAGTTTCCATTTTGAAGACTTTTCAAAAAAATGCTTGGGGCCAGCAGGCAGCATGGTGGTTAAGGGAGGGCACTGGACTCCCACATGGCTGATCATGGTTCAAATCCTAGAGCTGGCGGCTTGCTTTCTCACCTTCCCCCTGCCCCATCTCTCTCACTCTGTCCCTCTCTGGTCAAATTAAAATAAATAAAATAATCCTTTAAAACAAATACTAAAAATCATTGAGCTGCATACTTTATTTATTTATTTATTTTTGAGAGAGATCTTTGCTATAGGGCATGTGTGCTGACCAGACAGACAGACAGTGACAGAGACACAGAAAGTGAGAAATCATCCCCTAGGGGGAATGGCCACACCACAATCCCTTCTCCTCCATTCTCCTTTCAAGACCTTGGACACACATGCACAGGTACCTGGAATGAGTTTTAAGCCACCAGATTTGAGACTCGAACTGTGGTCAACTATGTGGGAATCCAGCAACGTAACTATTACACCATCTGCTTGGTCCTGAGCTATATGCTTTTTTTTTTTTTTTGGAGAGTTTTTTGCTATAGGGCACGTGCACTCGCTGGAAAGACAGAAAGACAGAAAGCGAGAAATCACTCCCCCCAGTGGGGATGGCCATGCTGCAATCCCTTCTCCTACATTCTCCTCTCAAGATCTTGGGCATGCATGCACACGTACCCAGAGTGAGTTTAAGCCACTGGGTCTGGGACTTGAACTGCGGTGGACTACATGAGAGTCCAGTGACACAGCCATTACACCAACTGCTGGTCCTTGTATACTTTAAATGGATGAATTCTGTGATATGTGAATTATACTTCAATAATATTTTTAAAACAATAGATCAAAAGATCAATAATTAGGCCATAAAGCTGTTCAGTGAGGACAAAACCAGATCCCAAAGTATAGGTTAAAATGGTAATTAGAGAAGAGGAAGGAGGATACGTCTCTGAAGTAAGGAAATATGATAGAAAGGTAACAAAACAGTGGTATGTGAAGTAAAAATTTGGGGCCTTGGGGCCAGCAGGTGGCATGATGGTTAAGGCAGCTAGACTTCCACATGGCCAACAGAGGTCTGAGGCCCAGACCAGAAAGCTTGAAAATCACACCAGTCATGTGTGAGTGTGTGCCGAAAATTCCAAGAGGAGAATGGAGTAGAAGAGATTGTGGTATGGCCATCTCCACAGGGGGCAATTTCTCACTTTCCCTCTCTCTGGTGAGTACATGTGCCCTATGGCAAAAAACAAACAAACAAACAAACAAAATAGGCCTTGTGCTGAAACATTCTTACTTTCTCCCCCAGATTTTAGACATTTTAGGGAGCTTTCCTTCCTACCAATATCTCAGACATGTTGTCTTCTCATTGTCTGCTAGTATTGGCTAGTCGCCTGTCATGGCTTCTTCCAGTGATTCATCATCACTCACCTGGACACCATTCTTTTGTTTCCTTCCTCTTAACCATCCAAGGTTCTTTCCCCTGCTCCAATAAGAAGATCACATATGGCTTAAAATCAGAAAGTCCTGTGAAAGAAAAAAGGGACAAGGTTACAGGGCAAGTAGGTGGCATAGTAGATGAGGCACTAGACCCCCTATCGTTAACTGCAGCTCGAGAATTGGACCTGGGGGCTTGCTTTCTCTCTCTCTGTTGAATGCACATATCTTACAGCAAATTAGAAAATAATAATAATAAATAAAATAAAATAATTATTTTTAAAAATGGGGGACAAGATTATGTGGTAAGTGTCAGAATCATTGATAGAATTAGTCCATGAGTATCAAAAAAAGAAGAGTAATTAGATTAAGGGTCAGAAAGAGTGAAGGTCAGAGATAGAGATGTCCAAAGAAGCAGTCCATTCCTAACTTCACAAAGCAGAAACTATTTTTTTTAAAATGTCTGTTATAAGGCATGTGCATTTGCCATAGGAAGACAGAGACAAAGAGAATGTGAGTAAGTACCCCCTAGAGGGGATGGCCACATCTGCAATCTCTCCTCCTCTTTTCTCTTTTCAGAATTTTGGGCACACATGCACATATCCACTGGGTCTAGGACTCAAACTGTGCAGTTGGTCATGTGGGATCCAGTCACCTTAACTACCATGCCATGGGGTGGCCCAGGGAAAGACCATTCTTTGGTGAACAAGAATCATTAATTCAGATACTTGAAAAACACTCACAAAAAATTCACAGCAAATAATATAACAATTCCAAAAGGCCAGTCTGAATTTGGGGGAACAGATAAATTTACCCAGTGAGATTAGGTGGCTATAATTCTCCAACATCACGTCTCGATATAAATCCTTCTGAGCAGAGTGCAAGCATTCCCATTCCTTTTGAGAGAAGTAAATGACCACATCTTTGAACTTCAAGCTCTGAAACCACAAATAAATACAATACTTGTGAAATTTATTGCAAAAATCTTTAAGACAATATAAAAGAAAATGGAGAAAGCAATTCAGTAGGTATGTCTAATGAGAAAACCAGCTGTGTTGGGCCCTTTCACATGGATGGAATAGTGTGGAAACAAGAATGATCGAGCCAACTGCCCAGAAATTTCCTGAACATACCTGATCCTGCAGGAGTAACCTCTTGGCACTTCCATTATCCACTCAGGTCTGGAAAAAAACCTAAGTCCTGAAACCAAAACTTCTTCCCACAAATACCCTATCCAGAATCACCAGTATAGAGTCAGACAACAACAGATCAGCAAGTCCCAAGCAGCCTCGATAGAGCTCAGCTTCCTAGACACACATGGCAATGGCTTTCTGTGAAACCAGTTCCCAGACTCCTTGTAGTCAGCACACTGTGGTTCCCAACCAAGATCACTCATGGTTTTCCTGTCTAACACTTCCTCCTGACACTACCCCCAGCCTTATAGCTGATAGTATAGTGTTCAATACATTTCAACTACAATTACTGTGCTTTAAGCACTTTTAAGTTCTTGGTATCTTATATGTATTATTCTTCTACTGAAGCCCATGACTCCTCATTCAAAGAAAACTTTACTTAAATTTGTGGTTGCCAGTGGCACTATTGGGTTTATCTGTTTTGTTCATGCGTTTGTTTGTTTTAGTTTTTTTTGCTCTAAGGCATGTGTGGTCACTGGAGAGAGATAGAGAGGGGCAAAGTGAGAAACCACTCCCTGGGGGGAAGGAGGGGATGGCCACACCACAATCCCTTCTCTATTCTCCTCATGAAATTTTGGACACATACACCTGGAGTGTTTTTCAAGCCATTGGGCCCAGGACTCGAACCATGAAGTCTGCCATGTGGGATCGAAGGTGTTGGCCACCATGCCATCTGCTGACATGGCACTGCTGGGTTTTGAAGTTAGACATTTCCAAGTCCAAAGCTGGTTGCCTTTTACTTCTGGCTTTTGAGGAAGCAGCTGAGGATTTCCTGATCTTTTGAAAAAACCCTCAGTTGGGCCCTGCACTTAGAGAAGCAAAAAAATGTTCATTTTGCTTTGTTTGTCACTGCAGACCACAGCAAAATATGAGAGAAATCAAAGGCCGAACAGAATGGGAAGAGAGAGCCAGCTGAACCAAGAGAATTCTTTGAACCAAAAATATCAATCAAAATTCCTGGGACCAGCAGTTAGCGTAATGGCTATGTTGCTGGACTCCCATGTAGTCGACCGCGGTTCGCGTCCCAAACCCGGTGGCTTAAACTCACACTGGGTGTGTGTGCGTGCGTGCCCAAGATCCCGAGAGGAGAATGGAGGAGAAGGGATTGCGGTGTGGCCATCCCCCTGGGGGGTGATTTCTTGCTTTCTATCTCTGTCTTTCTCTGTCTTTCTGATGAGCACACACGCCTTATAGCGAAAAAAACCTCTCTAAAAAAAAAAAATTTCCCATGACTCTGGCTCCATTTGAGTGCTAAAGACATATCTGACTTTGACTCACTACCTGTCCTTAAAAAGCTCATAGTCAGGGAGGAAAAGCAAAAGAAAATAGAGATAATCACAACTCCAGGCTCTGTGGAGGACTAGTTACCATGACCAAATCACCAGCTAAAACACAATGGATGGAATATTAAAAATATTTTGGTATGCAGTGAGTTGACAAAGAAGGGAAGTAATCACAGAGGAGTTAAACCTAAGTTAAAATTCTCGTTTGACTGAAAGGTCTGATTTGGTGCAAGACAGTTGAGTGAAGCCATAGGGCAAAAGTTCAAAGAACATGAAGGGGAAAGAAGCCATGACAAATGGCACTTCAGTGGATGTTGGGCAGATCTGGAGATAAGAGTTTGGGGCACCCCCAGGTTGCCAGTGTTAAGTAAATTTCCATCAGTGTTAAGTAAATTTCCATTATCATTACATTCCCTAAACCTTGTAAACCACATTATACAGAGGCAGATAGGAAAAAATGATCACAAAGCTGCTAAATGGCAGGAATCAAGTAAGATTTGGCTTTTTTTTTTTTTTTTTTTAACCACAGTGCATAGCCTCCCATTAATATGGGCAAAGGACAACAACTACTTTGAGCAGAAGAGGACATACATGGAGAAAAGGTCAGCTAAAGGCTGTAATGCAAAGATAGTGGAAGCTCCCTTCCCAAAGTGTACAGAAATGGGTGGGGGGAGTGAGAGTCAGCAGGTGGCATAGTGGTCCTCTTCTGATAATCTTAGGAATGTTCTGGTCTGGGTGAGAATCAGAAGACAAACTCAGTAAGTTCTTAAGAATCTTGGTCAAAGAGAAAGGAAGAAACAAATTAATCCAGAATAGAAACAATGTTTCTTTAGTTTTCTGAGTTTAAAGAATATTTGAGAATGGGAACCAGCAGTTAGCGTAATGGCTATGTCGTTGGACTCCCATGCATTCGACCGCGGTTCGTGTCCCGGACCCGGTAGCTTAAAACTCACGCCGGGCAACAAATTAATCCAGAATAGAAACAATGTTTCTTTAGTTTTCTGAGTTTAAAGAATATTTGAGAACTGACTAACCAAAATTAATGAAAAGTGTACCACATCCAGACACCTCTGAGAAAGAAAATCCAAATTTCACATCCTACCATACCATTTTTTTTTTTTTTAAGTTTTTACCATAGGGCACATGTGCTTACGCAGAAAGAAACAAGAGAGACAGTGAAAAAGAAACCTCCAATGGGGATGGCCAGACCATAATCCCTTCTTCTCCATTTTCCTCTTGGGATTTTAGGCAAGCACGCAACCCAAGCATCTGAAGAGATTTTTAAGCTACTGGATCTGGGACTCATACTGCAGTTGACCATGTAGGAGTTCAGCACCTTACTCACCATGCCACCGCTGGCCCCAAACCATACCATTCTTCCATCTTTCTTTTCTTTTTCAGAGGTTTTTGCCACAGGGTGCATACACTCGCCAGAGAGAGAAAAAGAGACAGTGACAAGGAAAGAGAAAAATCACCACCTGGGAGGGATCACCACGCCGCAATCCCTATTCCTCCATTCTCCTCCTGGGATCTTGGGCACTCACGCACCTTTCAAGTTAGAGTGTTTGAACAAAAGACAGAAATACTTCAGGAAAATATGAGTAAACTATTTTTTTAAAAATAATTGTTTATTTTCAATTTTATTTATTCATTCATTTATTTTAATTTGATCAGAGAGAGACACAGAGAGAAAAAGAGAATGAGAGAAAGCAAGCCACTAGGTCTAGGACTTGAACTGTGGTGGGACATGTGGGAGTGTCCAGCGTCTTAACCACCACGCCACCTGCTGGTCCCCATAATCTATCTATTTTTGTGGTAAAGAAGACCTCTCCATATATAAAGGGAAGAAAATTTAAGAAAAATGTTCATTTATTTTAATACGTTTTTAAAACTTTGACTCTAAGAATACACACAAAACAAATTAACACTGAAAAAATATCTGTAAAACAACTTACAACAGCAAAAGGAGATATGTTTCACATATAAACTATTGTTTAAAGCCAAAAAAAAGCAAACAAGACAAAAAAATCAGTAGGCAATTTCTCAATCCCAGCTCTACCATTTATTAATTGTATAAATATGAAGCAAGTTACTTAACAGACCTTGTCAACTTAGAATAATATCCTATTTCATCAAATCTGAAACATCATTGATTATAAAGCCACCATTACATCATACACCAGGAAAGAAAAAAAAAACCGCCATGAATGAAACAATGACTTGCCAGGAACTCGAAAATCTACCTGATTTCAGAAGACTGCAATGTGAAAATAAAGTGCACCAAAGATGTAATGAAATACTTTTCTCACTGGGGTGTTATGTGGATTAAACAATATCAGATATGTAAAGAACTTCAAACTACAAATGGTTCAAAGAAAGCACTCAACAGGTTAGTTGCTTCCATTAGTTGTATGATTCCGTTCTGAAATCACACACCACACACACACACACACAAATGGGCAAAGTAAATTAAAAATATTAATAGTGCCTCTTTGGGAGACCATGGGTGACTTAAATGTTCTTAATAACTTTCTCAAGTTTTGAAAAATTGTACAAGGTTTCTACATTATTTGAATCATTAGAAAGAAGGCACTTACAGTGGCTAGTAGGTGGCATAGTGGTTAAGGCACTAGACTCCCACATGGTTGACTAAGGTTCGAGTCCCAGACCTGACAGCTTGAAACTCAGACGGGGCATGTGTGTGTATCCAAAAAGGGACTGCAGCATGGCCATCTCCTTTCGGGGGGTGATTTCTCATTTTCTGTCTCTCTGTCACTTTGGCCAGTATATGTACCTTACAGCAAAAATTTCTCATTAAAAGAAAAATAAGACACTCAGGTTATTTCTATCTTGGGAAGGAAATACCTAGAATGAAGGGGACAGAGAGGTATTTTAGGCTACTAGAAATCTGTAAGCAAAAAGGCTACTGCATGTGATCCTGGAGGGAACAACAAAGAACTTAGTAAGACTTAAGAGAGTAACTTTATATTCTGTTCTTCAACTTCTTTGCCAAAATCACTGAGGTATGTTCACTGTCAAGATTGGTCTGAGAATGAACAAAATCCAAGAAAGCAGAAATTCTAGATCAGGTAAGACAATGTGTACAAAGCATACAGCCCCGGGGGGGGGGCTTAGGAAAATTGCTACATAAATGCAGTTTCCCATTCTCTTCTCCTTCAAATACTAACTAAATCTTTTGGATAGATTCCTGAGATCAGTGTCATGAAAAAGCTCTTTTCAAGGAAACAGTGGCAAATGTAACTTACCTGTGCCATGACTTTAGATGCCCAGCAATTCTCTCCACGTCTTCCGGGTTCTTAGAGAAAGAACAAGATAGAAAGGGGTTAAGAAACCATGACACACACGAGCCTGGAAGAGGCCAAGTCAAAACAAATTCCCTAACCCACACCAGAAATGACTGACCAGAATTCATGAAAAACGTACCACACTCAGACACCTCTGGGGGGAAATAAAACCAAAGAAGAGACCAAAGAAGCCTTCAATCCCATCACTTCTCACATCCTCACAAAGAACAGGATTCTCAGGGGCACAGACAAGAATCCTGGGAGACTCCCAGACAGCAGCGCTTCCTCCATAAGAGCCTAACATGGGATACACTCTCAGGCTCAGCATCTTACGACTCAGACCAGGTCTGCAACTCCAAGATGCAGTCTAGGTAATTCCATCTGTCAGGGTGCCACACTCCTGTCCTTTAGGCTGAGGGCACTTCCCTGGGCAGGGCCTAGATCCCTAGTAGCTTACAGGGTGAAAAAACAGGGAGAAGCGGAAATTGTAGGGGCTCCCTAACCCCATGGCCTAAACAGAACCCTCCCCCCCAACCCACCCCCCAGACAGTCCAGGCTGGAGACAAAAGGAAGGCAGCTGAGTCCATCCATTCTGGACTCTAAAGTTCAATGGGAGCTAAAAGGCGAACAAGCTACAGGGATTTCATAGGAAGACCCCACCCAGCACAGACCTAGAATGTACAAAGAGGGCGCCCACCCTCTCCACAAAGGCAGAGTCCGGGCCACAAGTCAATCACAGAAAATATACACACAAAGCCACGGAGTTCTGCTAAGTTAGAAGGGGCAACCACCACAGCCTCGCGGGCCCTGGTAATCGAGCACTTAACGCGGGGCTCAAAATCCACGTCCAGGAAGGACCACACAGACATTTGGCCCAGGCAAGAGGGCACCAACCAAGACCTCCAACCATCACCAGCCCGAGCTGCACCAGCCTTAAGCCATACCCACCCCAGCAGTTGCGGCTGATATCGACCTCTCTATAGCGCAAGAATCAGAGGACTCTATCCCGACCGCTGGGCCACGGTCCCCCACACCCTATCCAAGCGCATGGTCCGGATGTCCTTTATTGTTTAAGTGCAAGGATGCAGCCCCGACTCTCCCCTACAATTAAAACTCTATAGAGAGAACCCAGCTCCGCATCAGGACTCCTCACCGTCCACTTCTCTGGGTCCTAGCACTCAGGTCTGATCGTCTGTCCCAAACCGGTGAGCTAAGCCGCCCAGGACCACAGGACCCATTGCAGCCGAACTCCGCCAACTCACCACTGGCCCTCCAACTTCGGCGGGAAGTGGCTTGGATGGCGGAGCCCCCTGGGAAATGTAGTCTATAGGAGGGGGCTCCCAGGGCCGCGCAGCACAACTGTTCACCGGAGTCACATACCGTCCCAAGCCTTCACATCCCGTCCCAAGCCGTCAGCAGGACTGGCCTTCAGCCCAGTCCACATCGTCCAGCTGCGCCTGAGCATCCTCCTAGGCCATGGGCGAATCGACAGGCCAAGGCAGCAAAGGAACAGGAGAAGGCTGTGAGGCCAGGGACATGCCCGTGGGGCCTGGAGGCATCTGGGAAACGTAGTCCCGGCTGAGGCTCGTGGATGTGACCGAGGAGAACTCAAGGGGACGGTGTTGGGCTCTGAAAGGGGGAAGAGGGGAACTGTAAGGGTTTGCAGGGGATAGGTAAGTCTGGGTCCAGAGTGGAAATAATGCAGTATCAATGTAGTGTGCTGCATTTCATCATTTTAAAAAAGAATTGTTTAATTTTATTTATTATTTTAAAATTTTGACAAGAGAGAAAGTAAAATTGAGAAAACAAGTCGCCAGGTCCAGGACTTGAATGCGATCACACATGTGGGAGTCCAGCACTTCTAACACCACGCCACCTGCCGCCTCCCCACCCTTGACCAGCTACCCCACACCTCTGGAATGTCATTTTTTTTTTTTGGAGAGGTTTTCGTTATAGGGCAGGTGAGCTCGCCAGACAGACAGAGAGAGACAGACAGAAAGCGAGAAGTCACCCTCCAGGGGGGATGGTCACGCCGCAATCCCTTCTCCTCCATTCTCCTCTCAGGATCTTGGGCACGCATGCACACGTGCCTGGCGTGAGTTTTAAGCAAGCCACCGGGTCCGGGACGCGAACCGCGGTTGACTACATGGGAGTTCAGCTACATAGCCGTTATGCTAACTGCTGGTTCCCTGGAATGTCATTTTAAGATTAATTTGCACAAGGTCATTTATTAACAAATAAAAATAATTTAGGTGAGGGGCTGGTAGGTGGTGTGGTGGTTAAGACAGCAGGACTCTCATGTGGCAGACCATGGTTCAAGTCCCTGACCTGACAGCTTGCTTTCTTCACTTTGTCTCTCTCAAAAAATAAAATAATGACAATGAGTAAAATTAAGAAATTGTTTAAAGAATTACTTTATTTAACTTTATTTTTAAAAATTTGATCAAAGGACAGAATGAGAGAAAAAGAGAGAAAGTAAGAAAGCAAGCCATCAGGTCCAGGACTCAAACTGCAGTCTGCCATGTGGGAATCGGCACCCTTAACCACCATGCCACCTGCTGGTCCCCAAATTAAAGAATTCTTTTAAAAAATACTTTAGGTGAAAAATGTTGCTAAACTCTATATACCATGTAGTAGTTTTTTTCTTTTGTTTTGTTTTTTAGAGGTTTTTGCTTTAGGGTGTATGCACTAACCTCACTGGACAGCAAGAGAGTGAGAAGGAAAGTGAGAATTCATCCTCCAGGGAGGATAGTCATTCTGCAACCTCTTCTCTTCCAGGGTTCTTGAGCATGCACACACATGTGTCTGGTGTTAATTTAAGCCACTGGGTCTGGGAATTGAACTCAGTAGACTACATGGGAGTCCGACAACATAGCCGTTACACTAACTGCTGGTCCTGACAAGGGGGTTTTTAGTGAAGGGAATGGTATGGGGAGTGATAAGGAAAGGAAGTAGAGGTTGTATGACGGACATGTGAGGTCAATGCCAATTGTTTT